CGTCGGGGGACTATCGATCGTTTCGTCGGTGCGTGGATACGAGGGGAGAGAAAGGAGTAGGGGGCGTACGCGGACGATGGCAGAGTTGGCGATGTAGGCGCCGTACCGATTGCCGGGGGCGTCGGTGAGGTTGGTGCCCTTCCAGGTGACGAGGCCGCCGCCGCAGGCCCTGTTGGCGAGCACGACGCGTTAGAACCAACTAACAAAAAAGTTTGCCTACGTCAAGCTGTTTGCTCATCAATACGAGCGATGAGGAGCTCACGTGGTGCCGAAGCCGAACAGGTCTGCAAGAAAGAAAGAAAGAAAGAAAGAAAGAAGAAAGAAAGAAAGAAAGAAAGAAAGAAAGAAAGAAAGAAAGAAAGAAAGAAAGAAAGAAACGACATCGAGAAGGTAAGTTCGAGAATGAAGAGGTGACGCGAGTGGAGGTATACGGTACAGTCGGTTTGGCCGTAGACGATCGAGTCGACGACGTACGTGCTCCCGTTCCGGCCGGTGTACCACGTGCCTTGGTAGCTCGCGAACGAGCAGCCGTAGAAGGACGCGTTCGCGTACGATATGTCCGTCACGAGCGCTTGCGAGATCGCGTAGTTGGCCTGTGTTTGCACATCAATTTTTGTCAGCAACGCACGTACGTGGGAATATATGCGCTCTCAACGATGAATACATAAGTTAAAATGAGATAAGATCAAAGGGATGCGTATAGCGAGGTTGACAAAGTCGAGGTTGTACGCCCGGAAGTCGACGTTGCCGAAATGGGGTTGGAGAGGGGCGCCAGTCGGCTGAAGCCGGTGAGCGCGCCGGCGGCGTTGGGCAACACGACGAGTACGGCGGAGGAGGCGTCGTCTTGGCCGGCGTGCACGAAGGAATTGTTGGAGATGCGGACGAGGTTGGGAAGGGCGGAGGCGTTTGTCGGAGTCAGCAACGTGTTGGCGGTATGTTGGCCCTGGTATGCAGGTCAGGACATGGGGCGAGAGGGGAGGACGAACGGACGGACGGAGGGAAGGGCTTGGACGTACGAGCAGGGTGAGGGGCGCTGAGCGGGTGACATTGATGGTTTCGTGGTGGTCACCGGCGCCGATGAGCATAGTGCGGGAATGCCTTCTTTTCTGCACGAGGAATAGAGAATCAATGCGACGTTGAAGCTTGGCGCGGACGTCGTTTGGCGAGGTGAACAAGGTGTCCAAAGGACACCCGAGCAGTGGAGTTATCAAAAAGTTCTTCCGGATCTGGCAGCGCCAGTGGTGAGCGTTTTGGCATTCGACTTGAAGGAACTGGAGCAACGTGAACTCACAGCTGAGAAGGCCTGGAGCAACGAAGTTGGTTCAGACATTTGACTTGATTGGTACGTAGGTAGGTAGTATTCACCAGCGCGGTCCCAATACCAGAACAGCCGGGCCCAAGGGCCTCGCACTAGTTGCGAGCCAGGACAGGATGTAGGGAATGGGATCCGGCACTACGGAATGTCATATATTCAGTTTTGCCTGCTCAACCTCGAACGCGTAAATGATCGATACGCCCATCGCAGGCGCTTGTGGGTGAGTCAGCTATCACAGTCGAGTAGAAAGGTGGTCGCCTTGATCGATCGAGTACTTGCTCATTATAGAAAGTAGCCTTGTGAAGCGACAAAACAGCTCGGACTCGGAGGACAAGCGCATTCGTGATCGTGGGCAAATACCTCCTCGACGAGCTGGCTTGCTTACCCCTCAACAACGGTACCTGTACTGTTACAAAACGTCATCAGGAAACACCCCCTCTGTGAATTAGTATCATAAAGGGCAGAGATGTCAAGTAATTACTAGACTATCCATGTAGATAAAGCTATGTTGGGACCCTTTACAGTATATAACAGCACATACCAGCACAGAAGTCCAAAAAGTAGGAAATATGGAAGGTCCCCCTGAGCATTTGTCACATTTTTGGTGAAATGTGCCCAAATATGTGGATTTTTATTCACTTTTTTGGGCATATTTTGGTGATCTGTAACATCCATAGGCTCTCAAATATGATATATTGTGGCTCAGATATGACCATAAACTCTAGACTGTATGTCACATCTTGTTAGATGTCTTCAGAGTTTGGTCATTGGTAATTACATCTACCCATTACATGTGTATGTATATATATGATTCAATCTCCTTATCATCCCTCATGAAGTTCAGCGGAGGTTATTCCACGAAGCCAGAACGGATGGCATCGAGGTATATCAAACAAATACATCACAACAAGCACTAGGTTAATGCTGAGCCAACCGCGGTGCGCGGCTGCAGTGCACCCACCAAGCACGGGGTATCGGGATGCCATTGAGTGGGCAAGAGTAGAGCAGGTCCAAGTTGCCTAGAGTGGCGTGAACACGGTCAATCGGACGGGGTTGTCCTTGCGCGGGTCGAAGAGCGGGTGAGACGCGCCAAGAGCTCCGCATTCGAGACCCGCCTGTTTGGGAGACGCGCTGGTGGTGATGGCACGGGGCATACGAGCTCGAGGTGGCGTCCGAGATCGCCTCGGGCTCGGCGTGCCGCATCGGGGGTGGGTCCGCGTGCGGGTTGTAGAGGTTGCACGAGGAGAGCGAGGACGGGTCCGCGGTCGCCTGGGATGAGGCGCGGGGCAAGGCCGCCGAGCTGATCTTGAGCCATCGCGAGAATTCGGCGACGTCAGCGGAGGGCATGGCGAGTTGCGGGGTGGAGAGGTGACGTGCCTGGACGGAGAGCATGGGCGATCGTGCTCGTCTGTGGGCGGCACTCGGGCATGCTCGGGGACGTCCTTCGGGGGCGGGACCGGCCGCTTGGACCTGTCACGCGGCGAGGTCGGTGGGTGTGGGGGCAGAGCTGCAGCGAACAGAGTGACCGGACAGAGCCTGTATTCGCTCAGGACCTGCTGCGCAAAGAGCGTGCACGTTCGCAGAGCCAGGGGTTAGCGCGTTGGCGCAGACGGGTCGAGCGCGTTGGCACAGACGGGTCAAGCGCGTTGGCGCAGACGGGTCGAGCGCGTTGGCGCAGAAGACGTCGAGTGTATTGGCGCCGTGGAGGTGGGCGCATTGAAGCAGCGGAGACGCCGAGCGCGACCGCATTGGCGGCTCACGCTCGGGGCTGGGCGATAGGTGAGAGGGGGAGGAAGCTGCCAAGCGCGACCGCGTTGGCGGCTCACGCTTGGCGTTGGGCGAAAGAGAGCGAAGGGGAGGTGACACCGAGCGAAGGTGGTCGCTTCGCGCTGGGCGAGCAAGAGGGGCAGGGAGACGACGCGACGCCGAGCGCGACCGCGTTGGCAGTCGCGCTCGGGGTTGGGCAAAAAAAGGCAGCCATGGGGGGTTGGGAGCTGAGCTGAGCGCGACCGCGTTGGCGGCTCGCGCTCGGGGCTGGGCGGGGAGGCGACTGGTGGAGATGGTGGGTAGAAGCTAGGCTGAGCGCGACCGCGTTGGCGGCTCGCACTCGGGGAAGGGCAGATGGCAGGGGCGGGGGAGGAAAGTTGCGCCGAACGCGACCGCATTGGCGGCTCGCGGCTGGCGCTGGGCGGAAGGCGGGCGGGCGGCGGAAGCGGCGCCGAGCGAGACCGCGTTGGCGGCTCGCGCTCGGGGAGGGCAGACGGCAGGGGCGGGGTGGAAGCTGCA